TTCTGTAATGCTGATGACTGTTGCTACTCTTTTAAAAACCTGAAGTCTGTGGTTTGGGCAAGGGAAGGTGGTTGCTGATGTTGGCAAAGAACTTATAAAAATACATAAATGTACTGGGTACTTGTAGTTCCTGTATTTTCAAACAGTTCTGATTAGCACACTTCAGCAAGGAATCATGTCTTATCTTTAAAGTTTATTGTTCACTCTTAAAATCAGAAATAGATTTTTACAATATATTGCCTACAAAGGATTTACTATATGATAAGTATCTTACCTAGTTTAAACAATTATTACTCAACATGTATACACTTCAACTATGAATTTGCCTGTTTTTAATTTCACCCACTCTGATTATTTTTATACTTGTAAGTGCAGGAGCGATTTTCCTCTTTTCTCTTCACCTTACATTTCTGTTCCCCTTGTACAGAATTGACAGAGTGATCTTTACCTTTCTGTGTAACATATTTATTTTGACCAAATTCCTTTCCCTGCAGGCAAAGTTTTGCATAACTGTGTGGGCTGCTCTGTCCAGCTCTGAGGGGTAGAATATCCTAATACAGTAGTTTCCAGTGGGTTGATGCTGTTAACACTGCCCATGTGTCTGTGACACTTTATCCCCTGATATCTGTAATAGAGTATTTTTATTCCAAGAGCTGAGTGATACAATTGCCTAACAATGAAAGTGGGCACCTTACGTGCTTTCTCCCTTCAAATACTTCATTAAGTTTAACCAGAAATAAAATTAAGTTTCAATAATCTTCTTTTATGTTTTCTTCAGATTAAAGATGGGCCATCTTTATTGTGTGAAGTCAATACCAAAGCCAGGCTGACATGTCTTGCAGTATGGCTTGACCGAGCTTCAGAAATGAAAGAAAACTCTGATAAAACTGCAACATCATGTCAAGGTAACAGAACTTTGTATTTTGAATTGTTAATGTGATTGTGAAGTGGAATACACCAAGTGGGAGGCTTCTCCTATATCCACTGGAAAATGTTCTGGAATTTTGAAGACGTGGGGATATGATGCTGGCAAGTGATACATACACTTACCAATCTGATAGTGTCTCAAGCCCATATATTTGTTGGAGAACAAAAGCCTCTTTTCACATTTATTAAAGTTCTTTTTCTATTTGCTGGAATAACATACTGTGGAAGCCACTGTGAAGCTTTTGAGATAGTTAAGAAAACAAACAGTTGACAGAGCTGCATGTCTTATTTTCCTATAAGCAAAATTGGGTGTGAGACCACTGTAGCTGGGCAAACTTACGAAGTCTAGCTCAGATTTGTTTGGGTTTTCTGCTGTTGTTTTCCTGCATTGTAGTCTATTTACATACTCGATCTTTATGTATTTTAATCTCACACGCAAAGCTAGCATAAGTGGCACTTTCCACTGTAAAATAAAAAGTTATTTATAACTCTTTTTTTAAAAATGAGATCCAAATAAGTCTCTGTGCCATTTACACTATAAAGATTGGACATAAAGTTCAGTGTGCTTTTTTTCAGAAACAGAAGATGAAAAATCATCAATAGCCAGGATAGACAAAGATTTTTGGACTACTAAAAGGGTTAAAATAGCAAGAAGAAAGAGAAAAATTATTCCAGGGAAACAAAAGCTGGAAGCTCCAGTGCAAAAGAAGAAAAAGAAACAGAATAACTCGGCATGAAGGCAGCTACTTTCCCTCCTGTACAAAAAGTAAATGCTGTGTTGCCCTAGTTTTTATAAGAATCTAAACCCTAAGTGGCCATACACCTCTGATTCAATGTGTTTTTAAAATGTAATTAATGTTCTTACCCTAATAAACTGACTGATCATTCTGGGAACATCCCCTAAGTGAAAAAAGCAAAAATTAATTAATAATATGTAATGTTTGTATTTTTCTATTAACAATACCATACACTCTTTAACTGGCTCTGAAAAAGCCAGCTAAAATAATAAAAAATAGGTGCATCTGTCTCAGTTACATTTTTATTTCACTTAATTGCATATTAGAAACATGTACACTTTTTAGTGTTGAAACTGTTATTGTTCAGTTTGACTCAAGGTATGGTCTGTCTTTGTCCTGCATTTCTTCTCCTACTCTAAGGAAGAACATTTTAAAAATACTTAAAATATGATTATCACATCCCACTCATAGAATCATGGAAAACTGTAATTTCTAATTTTTGACGTGGACTTATACATGGACTTTATAAGCACAACATTTGACTTTTTTACTGTGTGGATACTTAAATATATTTAAATGTTTTAAAAATCTTTGCTCCCATGGTTCACATGGTTCACTGAAGCCTTTTGTTCAAAATATGATACGTAATTTTAGGCAGAAGAGTTTATATCAATATGGTTTTGCCCTTTCTTCCCCCTTCCCAATGTATTTTTTCAAGTTCTTGATCTGAGCCATGTTGTTAACAAAGAATTATAGAACACCTGAAATTTTGGCCATGCTGATAAAATGTCTCCTCTTTTGTTTGCACTTAAACAAAAAGTAAATTCCTGACATTCTCTGTCTGTGGGAACAGGAATTCATCCTAAGCCTTATTACAAATATATAGTGGGTAAAACAAAACTGAACAAGGTCAAAGAGGTGAACTAAATGTTTCCTTTCTTTATTTTAAGGTCTAAGGCATGATAATGTTGTTTTCTGCACTACTGGAGTAGTCATTACTATTTCTGTTTTCAAAGAGTAATTGTAATCCTACTTTGTTCTTATTCACTTCATCCATTCCTCCTTATTTGTGTAGCAAGAGAAAAAGTAGAGAAAATCAGAAAAAAGATTGAACCAAATCTGGAGACAGGAATGCAGGCTGGTTTAGGGATCTAAAACAACGTAACTCCAGTTCAGCACTGTGCTCTGACACTGAAACAAAATGAGCATCATCAGTGCTGTTACAGAATTGTTCATGTGACAGTAGCAGTATTCTCTTGGAAGTGGGTGTCCATATTTATCTTCTGTAACTGTTTCCCTTACTTAGGCAAATGATCAGAGCCTCTTTTTTGGATATTCAATATAGTTGATTTAGGCAATCTCAGTTTAATTCAACATTAAAGGTATTAAGTTTGAGCTTACAGAGTTTTTAATTTTATTGATACCCTAAATGTTTGTGTTCATAAACACATGCAAATAATATAGGACTTCAAATGGTTTGTTGACTTGACATAAAAGTGCCAGATTTTAAATTCCTAAGGCTTCTACAGTAAATACAAGACTTAAGGGAATTGTACAGTGATTTCACTTGTAAAGTCTTATGCCTATTTGCTAGTGCTTATCTTATGTCCTTGATAATGGGCATGTCTGCCAAATGTCTGCCACTAGTAAACCAGTTTTTACTGTTTGAATTTTCAAATCATCACAACTGCAGAAGCAGGTTTGCAGAAGCACTAGGGAAAAAATCGAGTCTGCATGTAATTTTAAGATTAAAAAGAAAAAATTCACAGAATTTGGGTCCTAAAGTTTGCACTTTGAAATATTACACATTTGTAAAAACCCAAACCCCCTGTGTAGTAACAAAGAATTATCCATCTCATGAGACTCAGAACAATTTGTGAACTGGAGACAGAGAAGAACAGTCCTTAGGGGAAAACCTGTATTTTTCATACCTTGAGTGAATACTCTGCTACTAATGAGTATTTTGCAATCTGTTGTTACATCTTTGTATACATCTTCCTTTTCAGTACATTTTCCATTCTAGTTGTCAGGGAACTGCTTAGAATGGTAGAGGGGAGGCAGTAGCACAGGGGGAGGAGATGTCAGCAGTGGCAGAGCTGTCCCTGTCGGAAGGGGTGGGTGTGCACGACACTGGGAGAATAGATGGAGCCATAGTTGCAAGGAACAAGGCTCAGGGAGCAGCAACTCAGCTGAGCTCCAGCAGCTGTGGATTTCTTCCAGTTTTCCTGCTTCCTCTCTTGGGCAATCCCTGTGCTGCATCACAAAGCAGAGCCCACTGAAGCTTGTACCAGTGAAGCTATTACAGAGTTTGAATTAAAGAGGAAACACCATCCACTATAGCTTAGATATGTGTTGGTTGTGGCACTTTGCACGAAGGGAGAAGATTCCTACTTAAACCACTGAAGCCAACAAAGGAATTAAATTGCTCCTCACTTTCTGACCATTATGCTAATTCATAAAGATGGCAAAATTTGAAATGGAGCTATGGAAAGCATTTTGCAGAAAGTACAGGCTTCTCATGTTTTATGCCTTCTCTTATGAAGAGGAATTGAACACACTCAGTTTAGGGATCTGGCTATAGGAGTACTTTTTCTTTCTATATAGTGAAACGTCCATGGGAAGGAAGTGCATGGACAATTGGAGTAATATCATGGAGGACCATTATATGAAGAAAATCTACTTCAGCACTCAGAAAAGAGAAGGAGTTTAGCTTTGTAGGCAGTTATAAACATCTCTACATTTTTCCAGATTTAAAAAAAAAAAAAAAAAAATAAGCTAAACATTTTCTTTACAAGATGTTTTCCATCTCTTGCTGTTGCATAACTTCTACAGCCGAAGACTGCTTTTTCTGTTGCACTAGTTTGGAATTTGGAGGTCGTAGAAATCCTCTGCGTGTACCGTACGAGAGCTATACTGAAATTAATGATCAAAGCTAGAAGCAGCCTCTGTCTGCCCAGAGCTGTAGCTCATGCTACACCAAAACCAAGCCCAGATTCTGAGCTGTACCACGCAACCCCACTTGTGGATGAGGACCGGGATGGATTGGATGCACACTACTGCAGTTGTGCAGGAGCTTTGCCTCTCACTGAAGACGAGCACAAACCCCGTTCTGTACTGAGGCACCAGCGCTCGCTCGGGCGCTCCCGCCGTGCCGGGGGATTCCCGGCAGCTCTGCAGGTAGGCGCAAAGACCCCTGGCTGCTGGCCTCACCCTGCCCTGCTTCTTGGGTGAGTTTTCCCTTGGTTTCGTGCTTGGAGCTCTGCTTTCCTTCCCCAGAGCAGCCGGAAAGGGGAAGCTTGGGGCGGTGCCTCGCCTCCCCTTCCGCCGCCTGCTCCGCCCCGGTCGCTGCAGAGCGCGGCCGCCGCGCGGGTGGGACCCGGCCGCGTCCCTGTGCCCCGCGGCTCCTTCCCGATCCCAGCGAAGCCGGCTGCATTCCCTGGGCTCGCCTGGCGCCTAGGCTTCAGGCAGGTCTTGCTTGTGGAGAAGCTTGCCATAGCAAAATGCTTTACTTTTAAAATTTTTCCTCCCCTGAAAAAGGTTAAGAGGTGCTGATCTTCACCCCAGTTTTCTATTCCAGTTTTCAGCATGGCAGTGGACTGGCTCGGCTTCGGCTACGCCGCCCTGGTGACTTCAGGAGGGATCATTGGCTATGCAAAAGCAGGTAGGGTGCCGAAAGGTGCTTCTGTCTCCCTCCCTCTTCCCCCCACCCCCTCCTCCCTCTCCCCAGTAACTTGGTGTGAGCTGGGCAGCTTTTTACGAAAGCCTCCTATCTCGAATTTGACCCATATGTAAATTTTATCGGCTTGTGCCATGTGCTGATAACTTGCTGCTGGTAGGGTGTGCTGGATTTTGAGTTGAGCTGGTGCGTTGGGCTGATAAGGCCATAATCTGCTTTCTGGTGGGTGCTGATATCAGTGCTGTGCTCTTTGGGTGAACTGTCATAAGTTTGCTTCAGAAAGGCTTTTCCCTTGCTTTTTAAAATACAAGTGTTCTGTATCTTCAAACGACATAAATCACCACTTTTCCTCCTTAAGAGATTTATTCCGTTTTAATCTTTGATGATAACAGTATTCTGCAAGCTGTAGAGAGCTTTCAGAACTATCTTTTCTCCAAGCAGAGCTGAACAGTGCAAATCAGTCCTTAAACTTGTTTCTCTTCTGGGTTCTGCATCATAAGCTTACCCTCTGACCCACTGCTTTCATTTCCTGTCCTTTTTCTGAGTTTGCCCTCCTCCAGATGGAACTGTGGATTCATCCTGCTGCAACACTGTCTCTTTCAGCTTTGAAAATCCCTAAGCCATCTTACTTTTTATGATAGGAAGGGGCACTGCTGAAGTCAGTAAGACTCTTATCAATGCATTTGACTAGATAGATGCTAGTGCCTATTCCAGTCTGTTTTCCATTGGCTTGGATATATCCTTTGGCTTGTGAATGGAGTTTAGGACAGAAGGGACAATACTGAGACTTAAGTAACTAATTGCATCTGTATTTCTCCAAGGCCATTATGAAATGATAGGTCCTGTCCTCTGGAGCCCAGTTGGGAGGACATGGTTATGCTCAGGCAAGGGAATTCAGGTCACGGGATTATTGAAGGGGAACAGAAACTTGTATGGTGACTTCTGGAGAGAAAAAAAACCCCAACCATACAAAGGAGACATTGTATCCTTACTAATAACTTGGAGAAACCAGAAGAGAATGTAGCTTTCGTGCACAGAGCTAAGTTGATCTAATCTGTTGTTTTACAACCTGATCTATCTACCCACACAGACAGGAGGCAGTAATAGCCTTTGGGACAGTGTGAGAACATGGCAGTCAAAGAGTGAGTGAGTGATTTATTGATTCATTGTTTTATTTTTCGGTCTTCCTTTAGCAAGTTCTCTGGGTCTCTGTGTTTTGAGAGGTAGGAACTTACTGAGCTAGAGGTGAAGTGGTTGTCCTAGAAGTGTATGTGTCATAGCTATGTAAACAATGCCTTGGGGTAAAATTCAAGGATATGATGGATATTTCTTGGCTCCTAGGCTTGTGGAAAGCATTGTAGCTACCACAGATTTGTTTTTAACTCACACTCTGTGCAAAGCAGACACCTAGTAGAGTGTGCACCTTTTCCTTGCACATATACAAGTATATCAGGTGCTTTCTGTCATCTTTGTTTCTTGCTTTTTATACCAAGAGCAGGATATAAAGAAATATTACAACAACCTTGTTGATGATTGAAAAATTATTATTTTCTGGAAGCAATATGCAGTCCTCCTTTAACATTGAGAGTAGATCTTTATCACCTTAGCTTTCGATTCTCGACTCTTTGAAAGGTGATCTTTGAAAGGTAATGGAATTTATAAAGTACCACCCTCAGTAGCACTGAGTCCGTAATTATCCATTAGCCTTATGGAGGGCATTCACCACTCACAGTGATGATGCTTCTTCGTTGATTCTATAAATCACCAATTTAGATGTGGTATCGTTTATTTTCTGGTATCTTGGGATTATCATGTATACTGAGGACTTGATTCAAAGTTTAGGTGCATTCAGGGAACCTTCTTCCAAAGTCTGCAGTTACCTTTGGATCAAATCTCAGATGTACTTAGGAGAGATGACCTCTCTTGTTCAACTATGCCCTGCTCTTTACCAATTCTTTGAATGCCCTCCTGCTAATTCCACTCACATATTCTTTTTTCTGATCTTAAATTCTTACAATTTAGTCCTTCTATTTTACTGCCTCTCAAGGAACTTATTTTCATAACACTGTTTTGAAACAACATGCTTCAGTTTGTGCAAGGAAAACACCAATTCATTTGTTTTTCTCACTATTCTTTCAATCATTAATGTATTAATGGCTTTGCTGTTAGAGAACTAAATACTAATTCTGTATGGATGTTATGCAAGAGTAATTGAAGTTTCTTGATGGTGATCAGCATGGTCTCAATATCCTTAAAACCTCCTTCTCTAATCTTTATGTCAATGAATGATGAATGCCCATCTTATTTGTTTGTTTGTTTGTTTGTTTTTTTATAATTTTTGGTGTTTTACAAAACAGTTAAACCGCAGACCAAGGTATTCTTTTAAGTTTCTAAGAAATGCATTATCTTCTATTTATTCAGGTAGTCTTCCATCATTAGCTGCTGGCCTTTTCTTTGGGAGTTTGGCTGGACTGGGTGCTTATCAGGTCTCACAGAATCCAAATAACATTTGGGTTTCTCTGAGTAAGTAAAATTTTATTTGAAAAATATTTCAAATATATTTACCCTATATATTTCAAATGAGTACTTAAAAGTCTTTGCAGAAGGGTTAAGCACAGGTAGTATTACAAATCTAAGTTTAGTTCTGTCCCAACTTTACTGAACTGGTGGCTACCAATATGCATCTGTCTCGTACTGATGTGTTTGAAGGATCATAGTGCAGGGGAAGTGCTAACAAATGGATTTCTGACCTGGTTTTGGCTGGATCCTCCTACTTTGAGCATCCTGCAGGAGGCTGTAACATTTTGGAAAGTGGGATTCCCCCATTCAAACAGACCCTAGCAGACTATTTTATTATGACAGAAAATGGCAGAGATTATGATTGGCTTATTATTATAAGTGACAAATGTGTGAAATTACAAAGGTGTTGATGCCTGAGGAGATTTAAGAGAGAAGCAAGCTTCAGTAATGCTGTTTCTTCCTTCCTGAGAATTGGAAGCTTCCCTTCCCCCGATTTGAGAAGGTAACTGTGGAGAGTTACTGCTTAGTCAGTGTTTAAAGAGCCACCACTGACTACAACATTTTTTATCTGAAGCAGTGACACAGCATCTGGCTCTTTGACATGTGAAAATTAAAAGTGAAAGTGGAAGTCCCAGCATTTCTCTCCATTTCAGCTTTGTTTACAGGTAGTCCACTTCCACACCTACTGGCCGGGCCAGAAGCTGTGTGTGCTCAAGCCTTAACAGCTTAATAAACTGCTGATACAGCAAGCTTAAGAAGTGTGAGGTCAGGTGTTTTTCCCAAAGGAGAGAGACAGATACATTTCTGTAGCTCAGTAGCATATGGAACCTTTTCCTCTTCATACTTTAAAGCTTTTGAAGATATGTTCTACTGCTGTACTAGAAAATGAAATTTTGTTTCATTCTGAGGTGTGGATATTTTGAAGACAGGCTACTCATTTTAGCTTGAAACATTTTAATACTAAAATATTTTTGTTTTATTGTGTGTTGGACTGTGGTCCCAGACTCTTACATATCTTATTAGGTGAGATTAATAGGTATCAATGACAGTATTTTGTCTGGTGTTAGGGAAGAAGGATGTCATAGCTAGGAGTGAAGATGAACTGGATCCTGCAGGACCAGTTCACACAGAAGTCATCACATAGAAGCAATGGTAGAGGATAAGAGTTGGAACAGCATGTGTGTAGCTGTTACCACTGGGTAGCAGATGCATACTAAAGATAAGGATTTCATCAGTGTATGTTTTCCTTATAGTTTTTTAGCATTCAGTCTTTATTTGAGATACCATGTTCCATGGACTGTCCTTTCTATCTTACTGAGTCAATTAAACTAACTGGATCCTGTCTCTGTGTCAAGTGGGCAGGGACAATTAACTCTCACCTTGGTAATGCTTAGCACACTTCCCTTTTGAAGACTTTTGAAAACATAAATTAGTTAATTCTTAGAACATTACTACAAATAAAACATGATGCTACGTGTTAGACATGATTACTACAAGTTAGATAAATGCTCTCTCCCTTTTTTGAGACCTGAGGGAATTATGTGCAAAAGTTTAGTGATTTGCCTCTGTGGCGAAGGAGTGAGTTCTAGAGCAGTGTGTCATAAATTATTTCCAGTCTCAAAAAGAGCACACTTTGAAAAACAAATTTAAGAAGTATGTGCAGAAGTATATGGAGAGCAGTGGCTGCTAGAACTTGATATAGAATACTTACTCTTTACAAACTGAGGCATTTTAAAATTTGCACAATTTATTGACTCTCTTAGTCCGTAAAGTGAAGTAACCCGGTTTCTCTTTTTATTTGATGCTGCTACTTCTCTCTGTTCTGTTAGTTTTTAATTATGTTCCTCCCACACATGCATCTCTGCTGACTGGACTGTACAATCTCTCATTTAAGTTACATCTGGAGCACTGACTGCTGTCATGGGAACAAGATTTTACCACTCCAGAAAATTCATGCCTGCAGGGCTAATTGCTGGTGTCAGGTACAATACTTTTTTTTAACCTCCTGTGTGTGATTTCTTATTTGCTTAATTAAACTGGGATGGAATGAATCATATTTTGTGTATTATTTTTGTTCCCATGCATCACTTGGATGAAGTATCTGGAAATGAATTGACAGATTGTTGTTATTATTGTTAAATTATGTGTTTTTCCCCTTATACAGTTTGCTAATGGTTGGAAGATTAGCACTGAAGATGTTGGAAAAGCCCCAGGAAAAGTAACTGTTAATTTTACATCTTAGTATTTGGAAAAGGAAACCTGATCATGAAGTTGCATGAATGCAGAAGTGAGAAGATGGAAAAATTTTCTGCATCAAGACGTTTTTTAATCTTCTTTTGTAAGAGGAGTAGAATGATGGTACAGATAGTTTATATACAAGGTAGAGCTATTTGTGTATAGAGAGAAATGGGTCCTGGGTTTGATTTTTCTGGACATGTTTCAATGTATTTTAACACTTCCATGTTTTTATATTCCAAAATATACTTCTGACATGTATGAAGCTGAGAGAAAATATCCTGTAATTAAGAAAATAGCCACAAAGAGGCACCAGGAGTAACTGGCTAAATACAATAGTGTGTCTCAAACCTTTTACACTGAGTATTGTGGTGTGCTTTACGTGTTGTATTCTGAATTGATATACCATGTCTTTAAAACGTCCAACAGATCTTGCCTTTTTATTGTGAAATGATGCTAAAATGATGCTTTTCTATAAGTAAAATTTGTAACAAACCTTTATTTGGCATTTTTTTATTGGTACAATTTCTGTGTTTGGGGACAAGGGTATTTTTTTTCACCTTGTTTTCTTAGTGGAAATCTGTGCAGTGGACTGTTAGTATCCAAGTGCTGTCTTTCAATGATACTGAAAAATCACTTTATAAATGGAGGGACAGAAAATTAAGTTATGGGCCTTCATTAACATTTCATTTAAAAAGTTGGTTGAAAGGAACTTACCCTAAGGATTAATTAAGTGAGATTTGTGCTAGGCTAAAGGAACAGTTGAATGTGATCTAGACTGTATAACTGGAATAAAGTACCCTAACACTATGTTGTTCTTATCTTACAGGCTTATTTGACAATAGAATGTATCAACATTTTATTTTTATCTCTTAGGAGAGTGGGTGTGCCTCTGCACATCTGTCTTTACTAGGAAACCCTGGATTCAGGAGGGTTCCTTGTTCTGTTGTGATGCCTGAGGATTGAAGTGTGGAAGAGGCACCAGTTACATCTGGTGCTTTTGTTGTCACTCCATCCTTGATTGCTTCTCCTGCACTCAGTCTTGCAGTTCTGTTCATGCAGGCACAGCTCATGAGCTTAGCACTGTGATGGAAGGGAGAGGCAAGAAATGTGTGAAGGAAAATCCTGTATTATTGATAAATTAGGATTCTTACCAGGTGTAACTCTATTTTGAAGTGATATTTTATGTAGTGACTATTTAGGATTTTACTTTGGGACCTTTATACGACTGATTGTATCAGAACCTTGTCAACTGCTTAACATGATAATGGTAAAGCAGGTTTAAATTAACTTACCTCTTACACACTTTCCATTTTGTAGTGTTGAAAGGAATTGATAAAAAGTGTCTCAAACTGCATAAAGCAGATATCAAACTACATAATTGCTCCATTTTGTTGGTCACTTCAGTGCTTGTATTTCCTTTTCTGAAAATGGCAGTATTGAGTCAGAGTGATATTTCTACTGTTGTGAGTCAGAGGTTACCCATATGGTAGTAGACAGGAAGCTATTGTAGTAGAAAGTCATAATTACAAGCAGATCTATAGATGTTGGGCCAGTTGTGCTTTGTGTTATCAATTCTCTTAGCAAAAGTTATAAAATTAATTCCAGGTTTTTGTATATATTTCATATTGTAACCTGTCTTGTTTCCAGGCACTTAATCTGTAAATAGACTGATCTGTACAGGATGAATCTCCAGGGAGCAACACTGACATGTTAAATCATGTCTGAAATTCTAGTCTCAGTTAAATCATAGTCTCTTTTGACTATATTTTAAGCAAAATCTAACAGAATTTTTTGTAATTACCTTTTTATGTATTTAAATCACCCCATGTAATTGAACCAAAAAATTCATCACTGATACAGAATTTTCTAGAGCCATTCAAGAATTAAAGACAAAAATATCCTTTCTCCAGACGGTCCCTGCTTTTAGCTTGATTGTTAGCTAATTCTAAACGATTTCTTTCTTGGGGTTTTTTCCACCAAGAGTGGTCACCATGTAAATTGAGATAATGACTCTTGCATGAAATCCACTGTGGCTATGCCACAGCTTGAGTGGAACTTCATGTTGTGAGTCAGCTTGTACATGGATTTTGGAAAGAATGATTTAGTTATTTTTGGGAAATGAACTGCTAAAATGACTCTTAAATTAAGGCTGCTCTGTTCAAAGCACACTGAAAATAAAAATATTAGTTTAATATTTCTTATAGTTTCAGCTGTCAGCACAAGCTGAAATGAATACTGATTTTTTTTTAAAGCTCCAGGAACAGGAAACTAGTTTTACTATACACATACTGAGTCACCAGGACTCAACAGCTCAGAGTTTAATCACACATCCAGAACATTACAGAATTGAGAGAAGTGAATTTGAGTTGTCAAATCCTTGTTTCCTAGAGTAAGGGCTCAAGTCCTTCCATCTACTTGCCTGATAGAAGCTGGGTGGCAAGAGGAGATGTCAGGAGGTATTTTACCCATCTCTTGAGTGCCCTGCTCAGGACCAGAGGAGGGAATTTTCTAATCACTTTGGTAGGTAAGTGATCTCTTGAGAGTAGGAGTTTGCCCTAAATTTTTAAGGGGTATGTTTAAGCCTGTCTTTGTAATAGCTGTTGCTTACCTTAAGTCCTGGAAAGAGAGATGTTTGGCTCCCTTCAGTTCCTGCTCTGGATGGTTCAAGTTCCCTTCCCATGGAAGGGCTCCTTGCCTCCGACCGTGGGATATCCTGCAGGGAGAGTGTTGGCAGGAAGTCACACCACAGCCGAGAAAAGTTTGCAAAGTTGCTGGGATCTGTGGGAAAAGGATCAACTGTTTTTTACGTCTTTAAAAGCTAGATAGTAACTGGCAAAAATGCAGAAACATCCTGAAGCTGAGCAATGCAATTCAGATTTCTCTCTGCCCAGAGTGGAAAATCCGTGGGATAACCTAGATTTCACCTATATGTGGATTTCTGATTAACTCCAGGGTCTCTAATTCAGGATCTTTGCTGACACTGAGGCAGCATTACATACATACAGGTTTGGAATGTTACAGAGCACCCAATTAGTGAAAATGTGAGCAAATATTTTGGGGGGAGAGTCAAAATATTGGACAATTGAGTGCCTCAGTTATGCCTTAGTCTTTTCAGGTACAACACTGAGACCTCTAGTTCAACAATAATATACTCAGGCTCAATTGCACCCCCGAGTTGAGGTTACTCACACACTGATGTCACAACATAAGCTGTTCTTCCAACTAATGACATTTGCAGGTAGCAAAAATCTCTTTAATTTAGTACAAATGTGTGGTATAGTGTAAGAATTCAGGCCATGTTACACTAGTAGTATGGGCAACTGTCTTTCACAAGCCAGCAAAGGAGAATGAGAGGAGGATGAAAGATGTTTCTAGTGGAATGGTTTAGAAGGGAAGTAGTCATGTGCTGTCCTACTTTATCCCTTGTTCTAAGAATATGGTACAAGCCTGTTTTAATGCAAAGCGAGTCCCCTAACTCTTTCTGCTGCAGGCTTTGAAAGTGCAATTTGCCATGTCCCAGTTCTGTCAGTCATTGTGCTGGGAGCTGTTGGTGCTCTGTCATCACCAGCTGAGGGTCAGTCTGTGCTGAAACTGATATGGCCTGAAGTATTACACAATTATCCTTTTGTGGTGTTAAAATTGCTGGCTTCTTGGCATTATAGTCATGCTTTCTGACTGCCCAGCTTAATCACCTGGAAAAATGGGAGGGAGAAACAAAGGTCTGGAGAACCTCCAAGCAGTTATGACACGAGGAGGAAAGTCTTTGTTTCTCCAGAATCTCTACAAGTAAAAATGGGGAAATGTTGTGTTAGTAATAGCACAGAAGCATCTGCCCTCATCTCCTCTCCTGCTTCCTTGAAATGCCATGATGGAACAGATCAAACTGTTTATGCTTTTATGCAATATCCCCAGCTCAGTCCAGTGCACAAGTGGCTTTGGGTGGCTTTTTCCTTTTAGTCTTTTTGTGCTTCTCTGCTGAACTCTGAAATGGGGATATTGTTTTCCGTATCCCTTCCCTGTCTGTCTTTCACAGCGTGTGGCATAAAATGTTCCCTGCCCCAGGAGCAAGAATTGGTAGCTGGAACTGATAATGGTTATAGTGCTGGTAGTTCATACAGTGTTTTGATACTCTTTTGGAAAAACCTAATGAGAAAAAATACAGTACAACTAAAGTCTATTTGCCATATTTCATCAAATGTTAGCATTTGGTAATATATTGCTATTGTGTTTTGAGATCCTGTCCTGCAAGCATGGTACTAAGTGGGATTGAGCATTAGTGCTACTTCTTAGATTGTGCTTAGTGCTTATTGAACAGCAAAGGTTTGGTACCATCAAGGCTTCCCTGAGATCATGTTCCAGTGCTTGGCCGCCCACTAATTGAAGAACAATCCTCTCCTCTCCTCTCCTCTCCTCTCCTCTCCTCTCCTCTCCTCTCCTCT